TGGCATTAGGTACGCAAAAGAAAAAAATCTGTTACAAAAGACCCGTTCTCTCAGATTTCTGAATGTACTTTTGAGGCTATGTTTATATTTTGAACCAATCGATATCGATACAATCTCAGCCGTTTGATGTATCGAATACGATCTATTTTTGTCGGCGCGCCACTTCAAACTGTTCCGCGCGCGGAATTTTCGATATATCGATTCCTGCTCGCCGTTTGTGTCAAAACTATTTTTTCCGGCGCGGCGCTCCAAATCTGTTCCGCGCGCAGAATTTTCGATACATCGAAAAAGTGGCGCGCGGGATTATTTTCTGGTGCAGCGCCGGAAAAAACAGTTTTGACACGATCGGCGAGCAGGAATCGATATATCGAAAATTCTGCGCGTGGAACAGATTTGGAGCGCCGCGCCGGAAAAAATAGTTTTGACACAAACGGCGAGTAGGAATCGATATATCGAAAATTCCGCGCGCGGAACAGATTTGAAGCGGCGCGCCGACAAAAATAGTTTTGACACAAACGGCGCAAATATATCGAAAACCGGCGCGGAATCCGGAAATTCAGAGATTTTCATCGAAAACGGGTTTTTTCTTTCCGCGCGCCAGAAAAAATTCCGCGCGCGCAAGAAAAGGGTTTTGACACTAACGGCGTTCCATACATCGCTAGTCACCGCACACTAGTCTCCGGAGAACTGGACAAAACAGCCTCCAAAAGTGACTTCATCGACGATCCAGTACTTTGCGACTCTATTGTACTCTATGGTTGGTCTATTGCAGGTCTATCGTCATTTCGTCAACAAGACTAGAGTACCTGTATAGGGAGAGCACAGATTAGTCCAGATCGCTAACGTCCAATCTAGCCAATGCTTCGAAAGCGTGAGTAATTTTGCTACAGGTTAGGCAACTTTAGAAAATTGATGGCCCTACCAGTAGTGAAAGAACTTGACCGGGGCGAGAGAAATTTCCTCTTGAATCTGATTATAAAGCTTTAATAAAGTATAAATAGTAATATGTAATAATGGTTTTTGATCAAATAAGATTTTATCAAGCACTGTTATGCTAAGTATTCTGATTCAATACTCTTACAACAGTTGGTAGCAAATTAACTGCTCTCATGGGGGCCTGGCGGGAATTCAAAACTAGGAACCAAAAGTCTCATTTTGCTAGGATTTTTCTTTAATTTTCGGTTTCTAAGGCTTTAAACTTCAAAAATATGATATATAATAATCTGGCGGTGAAGATCGATTCATCCAGAATAGATGAGAGATGGACATTCCAAATTAAGGGGGAAAGTGCTGCATCTTTTAATCTGGAAATACTAAACCACATAAATTCTACTGAGAAACTAATTCTTGAATTCTTCGGAACGTTTCATCTGACAAAAATCTGAAAAATGGGTATTCTCCCGCCGAAAATCTGCTGAAAATACCCAAAATTTCAGTTTTGGTTCCTAGTTTTAAATGCCCATGGATTTTCCCGCCAAATGGCTTTCACAAAACTACTCACGCTTAGAGTCCCTTTATACTGAGAGTCAAGACAATTTGAATCCATTTCTGATTGGTTCCCGTATTTTAGGCCTCCACAGTGTCACAAACGGGAATAAAGATTACATTTTCACCAATTGCAAAGATTATAATCTGGAATGGACCAGGGAATTACGGGTTCGGCAAGGAACAAACGGAATGAGAGGAGGAACGGAGAAAGGCATTTGAGAATGGGCCGATCAAAGATTACGAAAAACGTTCAATTTCTGTAATCTTTATTACCGTTTGTGACATCCATGAGCCGAATTGTCTAGAGTCCCTTTATACCCAGAGTTAAGACAACTCACTTTCGGTTGGGCTGAAAGTGGCCTAAAAAAAAATCCAATTCTGATTGGTTCTCGCTCATGTAGGCCGAAACGAGTGCACCAAGATGGCGGTACCTCGAATGTGAACAAGATTAATGAAAATATTACCTAATTGTGGTTTATCAAGAGTGAATTGTTATTTCCATCGGTCCAAAATGAAAATAGATTAAGAAATTATTCACAAACCAATCTCATTTTCTTTTTAATTAGCTACGTTTATGCGAGGCTCGAAACCGGGGTTTCACGAAACCCGAGTTTGTAATGCAAGTTTCCTCCGTCGGGTTTATGCGGGCGCTGTAACCCGACTTCCGCGGGAAATCAAACTTTCCGATTTTGGCGCTGTTTATGCGCATATTTTCGATTGAACTTGAATTTCATGTTGGCGCCATTTTCACAAGCTATACTTCATTTTTCCACTATAAATTGATTCAATAAATTATTAGGTATTACTCTTTTATCCTGTGTATGTTCAATTTTTCCACAATATATAAGCGGAGGCTTCATCTTCACTAGAAAAGCCTTTACTGACTTTCTGAGCAACAGTTGGAAAAATGACAGTAGATGTTCAATCATTTTACGTTCATCTTTAAAATTGGATGAATACCTAATCTCAACAACCCTCCAAATCATGCTCGAGCTTATATTCTGAGTTCAGAAAAGTTGCCATAGGTAATTTTTAGTGATGTTAAAAATAATTATGGCAGGCGCAGAAATTCATCATGTTGTTGATTGAGCTTCTAATGATCTTACAATAGGTAGATATAGGCATTGAAAGTGTAGGAGTGCTAATCCAGTAAAGCACCGCACCTTCACTCCATGCTGTCGCAAAGATTGTATGTCTGCCATTATTGTAGTGAAACAAATAAAGAATCGGGATATACTTATGGGAATTCCTCCTTCAAGATATGATCAAAATAAGCAGATATTGATAGGTCAACAATGTATCGCTGAAGCAGAAGCGTCTAAATCCTCTTGAGGCAACGGACGGTGACAATCTCAACAAACTGGTGACGCTTCACAAATTTTGAATTTCCACATTCCCAGAGACACGCACTGAAATCTTGTTTCTCACCCCTCTTTCCGACTGCTCTCCGAGTCCATGAGCAAGACAGGAAGAAAATAGGCAAGCGACCTACCACTGTTTGCCTACCTGTGTGTGTTTTTCTTAAACTTGATTTTCAAAGGTGACTCATGTAAAGAGCAACTGAAAAATAAGATTTCAGAACCTGCCATTGCATTTCACTAACCTAAGACACCAACCCAACCTTACCATTGATATTCTTTTGCTTACACTGTATATTATTCTCCCACTGAGATTCGATATGAACTCAATTCAAAAATCCTTCTGAATTTAATAATACAGGTAGATTGGAATCTGGAGCTCTCAGTCTATCTGTAAAGCGCATTTACTAACATTCACTGCTGTCACAAGATATTTTTGCACAGGCAGAGCCACTTTCCACAGTTGATGCATCTCTAACGCCAAAGCTCAATTATGACAAGTGGTTCAACGACCAAAAATTGTTACACGCCTCAATAAAAACCTTATTCTTATCTCAAATTGAAAATCTTGGATCACAGAGCACTCACCGAAGAATCTCCTTCCTTCTGCATCAGTATGAGAAGAGTGACGATACTTTGGAGCAATAACTTTGAACTAGTTTCAATAAATGATGGCTTCAGAATTTGAGTCATCATTTACTAGAGATTGGATCAAAGAAACAAGTCAGCAGGTCACGGTTGTGGCTGGAGTCACACTTCCAGTAGGACAATCAGGAAATACGTACACGGATAACACACAAATTCAAGAGCTATGCAGCTCTGATTGGATCAGATTTTAGATTTAATCGGTAGATTGAAATGAAAAAATTCGGTGCACTACTTAAAGGGAAGCAGGGTGCCTTATCTTGAAATCTTAGGCAAATCGTTTGGATACAGTAAAAAAGTTCTCCGCAGATGATGAACTGGTGGGTAAGGCTATTACTCAATTGTAGCCTGTAAAGCTCTTTGCTTGCTTTGCTTCTGTAGTCATAAAATGTTGATTAGAGTTGCAAGAATAATCTGAAAAAGCAGTAATAAGCCTGGATTCCATCTGACACTAAACACCTTCACTAGAAAATAACGTCCTACGTTTAGCTAAATAAGGATAAGTAAGCCACATATAACTGAAGGAATCACGTAAAAGTGCTTAAGCAACAATTATAGTAAAATTATGATTGTTAAAAATGTTGAATAATGGCAAAATTAAAGCTAAATCGTGGGATAAGCACCAGTTGTTTACGAACGGTATGATAATAAATCCGCCATATTGTCGATCGCGCACCTGAAAATCGCATTTGAAGTCGAATTTCAACTAATTTCAACCTCCGATTCGTTTATGCGGAGTGCGAAAACCTAGTCTTTAGTGTAAAATAAGGTTTCAAACACAAATTTCGGAAACCTACATTTCGTTAGTTCCGTATCGTTTATGCCGTGATTTGAACCTTGGTTTCAAACTCAGGTTTCGATTGAAGTTAGGTTAAGTAAGAGGCTCGCATAAACATAGCTATTGATCAATTTGTTGATGTTGTTGTTTTTGTGTGACAGACATCGCAGGATTCCTGATCCTTATCCCTCAATATCGTTCGTTTGGGTGCACTCGTTTCGGCCTCCACGGCCAGCCAAGGCCGGCTGCCAGTCAGCTGATAATCGAGTTGTCTTAACTCTGGGTATAAAGGGACTCTAGAATTGTCTTGACTCTCAGTATAAAGGGACTCTACTCACGCTCTTCCGCCGATGTTAGCGATCTGGACTAATCTGTGAGGGAGAGTAGCGACAGATCTGAAACTCCGAAAGTCCATCAGGCCTTCACCGCACCGATGCCTCCGCGAATAAAGTTAGGGCCCAAAAGGGCAGCCAACCTATGAATTTCGAATGTCCAGAGCGATTTACAAATACAATCGTTACGAACCGTCGTTTAGAAAGCATGTATTTGGTTTACTTTTTGCATAAATTTACTTATTTTTGCGAAAGAACGCTCATTTATATACATTCTTAGCCATCTTGGTTAGAATTGAAATCTGTAGGCTGGCAGTGAAATTTTGTGTGTTAGAAGTTGCTCAGAAGGGTGGCTGCACTTTTGGGCCCTAAGCCCTCCATGATCAACCGATCTGTCGCTACTCTCCCTATGTATACAGGTACTCTATCGTCAAGATCTTCTCATCTCAAAGAATCAAGAGACCTACGTTATTTGAACGTTATTTAGTTCTAATCAAGCTATGTCAAGCTCTACTTTGGCTTTTTTGTGTTCAATTATATTGCAGTAACATCGAGATATTTTGTTGTCCGTGGAAGATAATCAAGAAATCCAAATAATCACACCCAAGTGAGATCCACATCTTTAAGTACCTAATCAACATGGCATCTCTAGCTGGATTTGTAAGGAGTTCAAGACCTCTTTTCTCTAAGCTCTCCCAGTGTAGAAGCAGGAGCTTGGCGATTCCAAAATTTGCACCAATTCCGCCCAACAGATTCATTTCTAAGTCAACAAGCAATAAAGATGGAGATGTGCCCGTACTTGATGAGCCCATTCTAGCACCACCATCCCATATCTTGAAGCAACCTATTACTCCTACAAAGGATTGGGTTACACATGGTTTTAGCGATGAAGATGAAATTGAGGACCTCAACGAATATCATCATGCTATGTTTTGTTCATATTCTGTAGTCCTCGTCGGAATTATTATGTGTTGGGTTTACTATCCGGATTATCAGGAGTTGGACTGGACACAACGAGAAGCTTACATACAGATCCGAGAAAGAGAAAAGGCAGGTCTACCCTATGTTGATCCAAACTACGTGGATCCTGCCACAATACCTTTACCATCAGATGAGGAGCTAGAAGGCGTTGAAATAATCATCTAAGTTTAATACTCTTATCTTGTTCAGGTATGTCATCTTAAGTATCTGCTTAGAATATTTCATTGACTTCGTAGTACATAACACAATTATGCACCTGTCTCTCTTTTTCAAAGGACATCAGGCGAATTTCTTTGAGTAGATTCGGTCAACTTTTTCAACTAGATCAGCAGAGGTACAATTTTTTAGAGAAAATGCTCCGCTGAAGTCAAAAACAGGACTCAGCTGATCATTACATTTTGCACAACGTTTACTACCATTCACTTTTCAGCTCACCCCGGGAGGTGGGTCAGGAATTTTGGGTGCTGTCATTTTTGCTGCCAACATAGTAATCAAATGTTCCTGGTGCGCCGTTGTCTAGAGGGAATTTTGTCCTCTTGGAATGGATGTTGGTGGTAACCCAAGAACTCAACTGAATTCTCTTGCTTAAAAGTGCCTATTACAAGCTTGAACTGTCCATTCGATGGTGATGGTGGTAATCATAGAGAAACTACAGAAGGTGGTGGCAAGGTAGCCATCTTGAAGATTGGCTGTGACGTAGAGAAGTACACAGACTGGTGCGCTGTTCAAAAAAAAAGTACATTTCATGATGGAATCTGTATAAACACCTACATCACCACTGAATCTAACATTGAAAGTCTTATAATTGAACATTAGTTGCCATGACTCCAATTTCTGCTGTTTTGACGCACAAAAAGAAATTTAACATGGTTATATCTTCAAAACGGGAGGAGTCGAGATAAAAGTTGTCATTATATGAAATAAATCTTTTAACTTACAAATTATTCTAAGTTACAGTCGAACATTTATAGAAAAACATATTGAAACTTAAATAGTCAATAGTTACGAGTTACATGAGCATAAATAAGTGGGAACCTCACAACCTTTTCCACTCCCTTTTAAATTTGAAAGGGGTCTCGGTTTGCCTGGGTAGCCTATTTCCAAAATCTGATTGGAGCAGGCTCATTTGCGGACCATCGCATGTCGATAACCGCAAAAATCATGGAAATCGGCCTAGTAAAACACTCAAACAAACTATGACAAACATTAAAAAATTACATCGTTTAAATGGGAGAATTCAAAACTTGATGACGTAATTTATAAAATGCTGGGTCATATTTTCAAAATCTGAATAAAGCGAACTCATTTAGAGACAATGGACCACTAGACAAGGTACGAATTTAACCAATCTGATACATGTTTCCTAACCAGAATTTTATTTAAAACACGATTTGCACAATGGAAATTACTGAACCCAACTCCTAACTATGATATTAACGTTTTTATTTCGCATTGGTTACGAGAAATCTGAACTGTCTGCTCACAAGAAACTCAAAGCTCTACGTGAGTCCAATCGCGCACTCCAATGGTTTCAGCAAGCTTCTCAATCGAGCAATGTTCATTTCCCACCATGTGTTTTTCAAACTATTAGCAATTTGCTATAGCTGAGCCAAAGCGTCAAGATTGAGGTTGCCAGATTTTTATATCGCAGAGACAGTCATGATAACTTTTAGCGCGCGATGTGAATCACGCAGACCATTGAGTTTTCATGAGTGGTTAGTTTGAATTCACACATCAAAAATCATTAAATATTTTCGTAAGGAGTTAATTTCGGTAATTCTTGCCGTGCGCAGCGTATTCTACGTGAAATTTTAGTTACAAAACATGTATCTGTGCTAAAATTCGTACCTTGTCTACTGGTCCATTGCCTGTCGATAGCAGCAAAAATCATAAAAACCGGTCCAGTAGAATACTGGAACTAAGTGTCACCAGGTATGCTAATTTAGCAGGTCTCGGAGCTTATAGTATAGAAGGTTGAATGAGTTTAAGGTCATTAGAAAACCAGTTATTTGTCCCTATTTCCATCCTTATTGGTCCCTCGATCATACGCCTGCCTTTCCTAGATTCGGACGCCTCAGTTTTTCTCTTTGAAAAGATAAGATACGAAACCCCCGACATGTTATAGAAAAAAAATTGACCTCCGGCCAATTTATGCGCGGCGCGAGCCCCAGCATATGGGGGGGGCTTCGCCCCCCATCATGGTGCGGGGATCGCACAAGACTTTCTCGCTTTTGCCAGCGCTCCGCGCCGGCATGGACGCTTTTACTGGGTTATTTAGAAAAATACTACCAACTTCACATAATCATTAAGTTCGATTGGAATTTTGATCGAACGATAATAGTTTTGAAATTTTTAATGAAACCACTAAACTTTATCATAAATCTCTTCACGATATGTGTTGAATTCATATATTTAGAATCAACTTGTCGATATCATGAGGCAGCTTCAAGTAAATTTTTTTTGTTGGTTCAGCAATCTACTCTGGGTGGTCAGCCTGAATCTTCAATTAAATAATTGATTTATGATACTTTCTAGTAAAGACAGCGATCCTTAAAAATCTTAGCTATTCTACGATTCATTGGGATCTATTGGATTCATTGATATCATAATTTAGATAGATCATATCTTATAATCTGTTCTTAAGCACGGTAAAAAGCTATCAAAAACCTACTTCAGTTGGTAGAATTACTATTCGATGTTAAAATAGTCTTAAAATAAAACAGGTTACACTCGGGCAATCGATCCCAAATTTCAAAGTTGGCGGTCGCACTTCCCCGCTGGAAATGGTTCACCACCCGCCCGCCGAGAGCGCCACCTCCTTAGCGCCCATCCCCGTAAGTCAAAACGACAACAACAGAGAGCGCCACCTCCTTAGCTGCTCGTATCCTCGTGTTTTAAACTACAACAACATGAATAAATTGGAACACCGTGATATGTAAACAAATTCGCTTTTGTGTAATCATAAATCATTAAATCAATCATGTTCGTGCAGTATTATTATTATTATATCTGTGTTCAGTACCTCGTGAAAAGGAACCACGAATGATGGAATCTGTCGGGATTCTAAGTCCATTAACAAGAAACATATCAGTTTCCAATAAAGATCTAAGCTTCAGTTCTAGTGTTAGCTTCGATGATTCACAGTATTTAAGTACCTATCTTGCTTGGTGTATACTTATGGAGTAATTTTGGAGATTGTACTTTAAATCCCAGGTTTCACCTGACTCAAAGCTTTTGCTGCTAATACCTAGGAGCGTTCCGACTCATTTATCGGAGAATTGAGTGTTTGCCATCGGCCCCTCTGCAATTATGAAATTAGTCCAAAGATCCTTCAGGAACTTAAATTAATGATCCAGGTGGTGCTTTTGTGCCAACTTTCAAAGAATTTAAGGCATTTTTTCAAAATCGACAGTCCGTCAAAGTGAGCTCTCCGTGTGATCTAAGTACTCTGCTCGCTATATGACGCGTGATGTGCTTGATGCCCACTGTTTAAGAATTAAAGGCATTTTTCAAAATGTACAGTCCTTCAAAAGGAGCCTTCCGTTTGATTTTGCTAAAAATGGACCTTGGCCCCTAGCCCCCCCCCAATTTTAGCGTACCCCAAAATCGTTTGATGTGCATAAGGAGACCTTAGATATGGTGTTCTCTGCAAATTTTAGATGAAATCGAACAGATAGATTCTGAGATATCGCTGTAGACAGTTTTGGGGGACGTCGGACGGACGGACGGACATACATTTTTTCAAGTATGGGTATTTTGACTCCTGGGACCTTAAAACGTCTAGAAATGATGAAATTTCAATTTTTTTCTTTTTTTTTTCTTGGAGGATGACAATACTTCCTCTCTACCCTAAGGGAGCGAGAAAGTAAAAAGGGGGGGGGGGAGGCACAGTTCTGTTCGATGCTTCCCAGCAGCAAAACAGGGTGATGATTTACTTTCTTCATCTATCGACCTTGATAGCAGATACGAGTTGCGTATTTACAGGGTGTTTCAGACCGCCCGTACCAGGCCTTTTTCTCGGTTGGTATAGGTCGTACGAAGTCGGAGACCGCGGGGTTGAATAGGCAATTGACCCCAAGGAATCCGAATTTCGTGGTCTCGAAACCCCCCCCCCCCCCTGGGGGGTTAATGGGGGGTCACGATGCTACAAGTCACGGTTCCCGACCGAATTGCGGATAGATCACATCAGAATTTAAAAGCACGAAAAATTTCACGTGGAATTGACCCCTAAAAATCCAAAATCGGACCATCCAAGGCCCAAAAATGATCCCCTAAAGAGGGGGACAGTACCCCCCTCCATAATTTCTCTTCGGTCTCAAAATTGACGTAAATTCTCCAGAAAAAGACAGTTTCCCAGGTAATCGACCTCGAGAAATCCAAATTACATGTTCTCGAAGCTCCTCTAACTCCCCTCGGGGGGTAAACGGGGCACGGTGCCCCTGAACTCACTTTAAATGCGACTTTGTTGTACATCAAAAATTCAAGTTGGAGGTTGTAGTGGGGTACCCCCTGATGGGTTTTTGGGCAATTTCGAAATAGGTTGTCGGAGCTCCTCGAAAAATAATCGCATTTTTGTGGTTTTTTAGGGGTAAAATAGCAAAATTGGCCTCGGGGCGACAAATTAAACCCCCTCTCCCTCATCCTTGCTTTGACCGATCTGAATTTTTAGTATGTTTTTACCTGGTATAAGATGGGACTTTTCTGAAATTTTCATGCCCATACAATTTTTTTTGCTCCCGCGGCAGCGTTGCCAAGTTGCGGACTCCAAAATATCGAATTGAATGATAAAATGAAGGTTTCGGAGTGTGATTTCCATTCAAAATCAAAAATTCAAATTGTAAGTTGTAGTAGAGTACTGCCTGATGGGGTTTTGGCCAATTTCGAAGTAGAGTGTTTGAGATTTTTGAAAAATAATCGAATTTTTGCGGTTTTTTAAGGGTAAAATAGCACACTGAGCACGGGGCGGCAAGTTAAACCTTTTCTCTCTCATCCTTGCCGTGACCGATCTGAACTTTTAGTATGTATCAACCTGGTATAAGATGTGACTTTTCTGAAATTTTCATGCCCATACAAAATTTTTTGCCCCCCGCGGCAGCGTTGCCAAGTTGCGGACTCAAAAATATCGAATTTGATGATAAAATGAAGGTTTCGAGGTGTGATTTCCTCCAAAATTTCACGAAAATGTGCAA